ACTCTGAAAAAGCATCAAATGTTTTCCGTTCACATTACGCCGGAGAAATTTGAAAACGCAACAATCAGCGGTCATTTTGGATTTGTGTTTGAGGAAAACTAGGTCAGGGAAATCACGTGATTATCGTGACGTCATCGTTTTCGAAAAGCTCCGTTTTCAAACTGTTTTCCGTCCACACGAAAACGAAAAGCCGGTTTGAAAAGCGTTTTCGAGAAGCTCCGTTTTCTTGACGGATTAGTGTGAACGGTAGGCCTAACCGTAGAAATAAAGCTGCGTTTTCAAATTTCTCCGGCGTAGTGTGGACGCTCTCTGAGTACAAAGCTTTGACGTTATACGTTTTAATCCAATTTTTGACCAGACGTATCTCACCTCACTGCATGATCCCTACACAAAATAAAACAGTATACAGAAAGCAATGGTTGAAAGACCGTCCTCACTGAAACAGCACGATAACAATTTAAAACAACAGCATGGTCGGGTGTTTTCAATAAATTCTTGCCGAATTATTAGCTTGCCTATTTAACCAGATCTCCTGAAATATTAATGCCGTTATAAATATGTCACATTATTCTCTATAAACCACCCACCCCCCAAATTGACATTATGGAGCCGCTGACAATTAAATATTCTAACCACCCGCCGATTATTGAATTTAGGGTACAATCTGGCACGAAAGGTCGCTGGCAAAGAAGGTTTAAAATAACTTTTGGTTTATAAAATTTTGTTCAAAAATTCGGAAATTCAGGTAGTTTGGTTAGGAAGCTGCTACTCCGCTCACAAAACGCTAAAAACTGAAACCTGTGTGTTTTTTTAAAAACATTAAATTTTGATATTGAAGCTAAGAATATCAAATTTATAAAAAAAGATACAGATAATTTGAGTGCTATGACGCCCCAGATATACTTTTAGCTCTCCATTTAAGTGGAAATTTAAGCTTTACCTTACATTTTGAATTTTCATTTAATAGAAAACAAAAACAATTTCCGTAATCTTCGAGGCGTGACACAAATTAATCTGGTAGTTAACGTCTCAACGAAAACACAATTCACAGAATCCTAATCAGTATTGGTTAACAAGAAAATGGCCCGGGGCCAGAGATTTAACAAAGAGGTGAAGGGAATTAAATTAGCATGAAAGAGGAAATGTTGACAGATAAAAAAGTCTTAATACGAAGTCTTGTGAAACCATCTGCTCGAAATAAACAAAAGACCGGCATGAAAAAGGGAATTTCAAGGGTCTTTTATCAAAACAAAACCCCGCCGAAAGGTGACAAAAACCCACTTAACTTCCACAGGAAGACACAAGGTTTCGCCGAAATTTACACGTATCTTTGAAAAACCATCGGGGATATAATTTTCGACAACCGCCTATTAAGACATGCCATCATTTATTTTACCAGTGTTATTATATGACTTAATTGAACACAAATGCGTCAATGGCCTTGCCTCATGCGTCAAACCGATCGAGGTGGTTTACTGCATTGTGACCGATATATCCTTGAGAGGAAAATACTAAAGCACACTAACACAAAATGCTAAAAGAACTTCCTGCTTTGTACCTATCAAAAAAGCAATCCCCCCCCCCCCCCCCCCCCCCCCCCCCCCCCCCCCC